CCCACAGCTCTTAGTGCAGACCATTCAGACACAGAGCGCTAAAGTCAGTGTGGCAGCGCTTTGCCTACCACTGCCTTACAACAGACTAGAGAACTTCCCACCCCAGAACACAACTAAAGAGCAGACCCAAGCTCATAAGATACTGTTTCAGACTCTTCCTAAGTGCTCAATGAGGTCCTATACAAGAACGTCCTTTGCCTAGCAGTCTCAGAAAACCCTTAGACCTCTCCAGGAATATAGCTTAAGCGCTTGACTGCCTTGTAGCTCTTTTCAATGCTCTTCAAGGTACGCGATGCCAACTGGAGGAGGCTCCGGCCCATGTGGGACGAGAGGGATGCCAACGCTCAGCCGCGTCCTGCCTGTCCTGCTCCACTGCATCCGCTCCCAGCGGGCCAGCAGGGCACAGAGGGACACTGCTCCACCTGTCTCCCACGCCCCCGGGCAGCGGATCACGGGCTGCAGGTCGCTCGGCGCCACACCCACTCCCCGAGCTACCGCTCAGTAACCCGGGGCTTGCACCCGGGGGACAAACGTCAGCTGGGCTTGACGAGCCCTGCGATTTGAGCACGACCCCGCAGGGACAGGGCAGACTGCTGATCAGGGGCCAGAGATGAGCGAGGACAGCAGCTGACGACCAGGAGCTGTGGCCGGCAGGGCAGACCAGCCTTCAGGGCCTCCCGGCGGAAACTGCAGGCCTCCAGAACATTGTCAGACCCGTCAGGGCACTGTGATCCACTTTTTCCTCTGGCTGACCGGCCATGCCAGCCCCGAGGGCCTACCAGTCCTGGGTCCGACTGTTCTCTGCCCAAGCCAGAACCACAGACTCGCCGCAGACTAACCTTCTCTTCAGGATGTACCTGAACCCCAGAGGCCCGAGACTGACTCCCCGCTTACTGACAAGGCTCTTGTGTTACTCTCTTCCCATCTGTAAAGCAGCACTGGAACACGTCAGCACTGTGCAGCATCCGGGCACCACGCTTACTCTGACCTGTGCTTTCACTGTTGTTTCATGCCACTGCTATCTGCACCCCGTGCATCCTGATCAAGTGTGATTTTGAGTCGCATTCGATAAAAGCGCCTCTCAAATGATCAAATGTCAACGTACAGTGTGTATCATGTCTCTGGAGGTGTGACTGATTTGTGATTGTTGTGCAAGTAGACTGAAGCCGAGGGTGACACAGGGGAGTATCACAGAGCACTGCAGAGTGTAGAAAATTAGATTCTAAGTTTGATTTGAGACTTAGCTGAAGTTACTTTTACTTTCTTTAACTTTTTCTGCTCTTCGTTGGTATATTCAGGCTGCACTGCAGATAAAATGCGAATTAAAGCCTGGAAGTTTTGCACAGTGAACAACAATGGCATTAGCAACAACTGCCTCGGTGACAAAGTGTTCTTGCTTTTAAAGAAAAAATAACTTTTTTTTTTTACTGTACTGAAACAAATAGCATGTTCTAAACAGCAGGTTTGGAGATTTATGTAAGTGAGTTATTGGATTCTCATGTCATATTTAAAAAGCAGCCATGTGAGTCATTCCTCTTAGGAAAGAGCAAAAGAGAAGATTTGAAGTCTGTACTTTCCCAGACCTGCAAAAATGGCTGTCAGTGCTAGCTGAATGTGGCTCCTATAGAAATAGAAAAGAAATGGAGAAGTAATATACTTTTTTAAAATTCTGAATAATTCTGTAACTATTCATGCGCTGACAAATGGCTTGAGCTTTTATGTTTTTGCCATGCCTTTAACAGTTATACCACTAAAGTAAAGATTTTTCTGCAGCCTGTAAGTTTTGGGGGTTTACTAGTTTTCTAGTGAGGTTTCTCTCTCTCTCACTCCTCCTACGCAGTAAGGTAGCAAACCAGCTCTTCCCACGCTTGCTCTGTTTAAACACCGTAAACATCATTAGCAACCCAACACCAGCGGTCCTGCAGTGTACCCTTCTGTAAAGCTGGCTCTCGCCTCAGTACCTTGGTACCGTAACTTGTTAATGCAGAACAGGAGGGCAGCAAGTGCCAAGAAGAACCCCTTTAACAAAACTGGAACGCACATTCTGATGGCTTGCTGAAGCCTCCCGACCAGTCCCTGCTGTAGTTCATTGCTGGCTAGCAACTGAAGTTTCAGAGCTGCTAGAGTGTTATCCTCACCAAAAGCCCCTAAATGACAAAATCATGCCGAAGACCCATGATCACAGCGAACAAACGATACCTAATTTTTTGCGAATACGATTCTGGGTTAACGAGTGTCAAGCTCGGGGTTTCAGTCACACTTGCAGCTCCTATCCTGCGAATGAGAACGTTGTGCGCAAGTGCTTTGCAAACACTTCTGGAGGTCCTAAGCACCTGGACAATGGGGCTGGAGACCATGTTGGGACCCACTGTCCAGGCAAAGCAGGTTTGCTCCGTCACCAAACAAGTGCGAGTGTGGATTCCCCTACAGGAGAGTCACGAGTGGACTTCAGGCTGGTTCACATCCCGGGTACCTATGAGCCTGCAGCTTTGGCAGGGGAAAACAGCATCACTTCTCCAACGAACGTGAACTCTCTTGTAAGGCACTGTGGATTTCGCGATGTGTAAAATGGCAAATGGCCCTCATTCACCCAGAGCTGGCACAAGGGCTGCAGTGGGCAGACGAAGAATCAAATAACTGACGGCCCAAAATAGGGATGACATACAAAATGACTTTCAGTTCCAAATTTGTATTTCTACAAAAATGCTCCTATTCCTTTTACCAGCCCCAAGCTGAGAGGGTACACTCCTAAACGTGACGCTAAACAGGAGAGAGTTTTGAAAATTACTAATCTGATGAAGGAAAACTGATGATCAGACCAAATGGAAGATGAAGTTGGAAACGTCTGCTGCTCTCTGCTTTGGTTTTTGTTCTTTTTTTTTCCTCTTTATTTCCAGAGATGCCGAAAATCAAAAGAGGCTTTGATTGCCAGCACCTCCTCCTGAAACTTCTCACATCTATCGCTGTGCTGGATCTGTTAAACAAGGGAATCCTCCCTTGCTGAGTTCATCTAATAACATGTAAAACAAAGCAGCTTTAATAGATTAAATTTCAAAAACAACCCTACCAATAAAATATCAACGAAGCGACTAAAAGACTGTAAACACATGCGACAGATTTTTTTTCCCTCCCCTTGATGAAAGCCAGGAAATAAGCAGGTTTTGCAGGAAAGATCAGAACACCTTCATAAAAATAATGACAGTTTCAATTAAGTCAGCTTGTCTGTTTCTCCATGCTGGCTTGAAGAGAAATCCCACCAACTCCTTCTGTGGGCACGGTGATAGCAAAGTGCACAGCTGATGCTCAGAAACAAATAAATTGACAAAGTAGTCATCATCTAAAATAACCACAAAGCCCTGAACTAATAAAAAATAAGGGATTCAACATTTTGCAGCATTATATTAAAAATAAGGCTGCCTCTCTTATTTTAAATCCCGAAGACAGCTCAAAGCAGAAATGCCCTTAGCCCCCTACTCCCTTCCAGCTCGCATCATATTTAGACAAGGATGCTGTGTAGTAAAAAAACAAGGTTAATAAATGACTTCAATACAAACAGGATGAATCATGTTTTAAAAGAAAAAAACACTTGAATCTGATTTCACTTATCACACAAGGCAGAGCCCAGTTTGGCTTGCAAAGGTTATCTGCTTGTAACCGATTTTCTAAGCCTGCTGAGTGATTTGTTTGAATGTAACTAAAAAACTTAAAGATCCACATCTGGTCAGTGGTGCCACTGCCATGGTTATTCTGTTATTGCTGGTTGTTTTGGAGAATTATTTGGATTTTTTTGAAAGTTAGATAACAAATGTTACATTTAATATTTAATCTGAAAAGGTTTAAAAGATCACCCTGTCATTCTAGATAAAAAGAACCCCAGCCCTTCAACGGGTAAACAACCAGTGGTGCAGACTGAGCCTGCCTAGCTCTCAAATCCCAGCTCAAAGCTGTACACCACAGCTCTCCTTACAGTGAACGGAACACTGGCGACTCAATTTAAGCAGTCTCAGCTTTATCCGACCTGCTCTGGAAAATAAAAAATACTCTTAAAAATGCTTTATTCTCTGAAAAATTAACCAAGCACACCTACAAGAGGTAGTTAGTGAGCCTATACAGTCATTTTACTTGTATTTACTTTTATTTAGCATTTTTATACTTATATTTAATATTCTGAATTACCATAAGAGGTTTTTTTTCCATAAAGGTTTAGGGTAAAACCTGACAGTATGCGTATTTGACTAGACGCTACTCAAAATCCTTAACCCTACAGTAAGTTAAGAGTAAACTGTAAAGGACACATCACAAAGTAACCAACTCTCCCATATAAAAAAAAAAGAAACGTGCGCAAGAAGAGTGGCCAATTCACAGAGCAGTAGACATGCAAGAAAATGTGCAACGCTGATTAAAAACCAACAGGTATAAATCACGTGCATGGGACAGCCTCATGCAAAGACCCAATTCCACCTCACAACTGCTCGACACAACCTTCTTTCTCCACAGGTACACACAATTGTTTATGAGCATGCGCACGGGCCTTAAAAACCCACTTGCTCCGATCTCCCACAACTGAAACACACCTCTCATGCCTCAGAACGAAAACTGAATGCCTCCCAGCGCAAGAAACAGCAGTAATGCCCAGAAAACAAGGACACGTATCCGATTTGCTGCCATTAAAAGAGTACGTCTGTCTGCACTTGTAGAATGCAGATGACGACATATTTCGGTGCTGTGCTTTCAGGTCAAAAGGGACAGGGAACGAAAAATTCTTGGTGCCTACCCCTAGATTTCAAACAGCTCGAATGTGCTCACTAACATGGGAGTGCACAAGACTAGAAGCAGTACCTTCAAATCTCACTCACAACACAGTCATGTCGAGTTGCTGGGCTGAACGCAAGCAGGAAGCAGACGGGTCACTGCTTTGGACAAGACGCTCGTCAGCCCTGTGAGCGTTTGGCATTCCCGCCACGGCGGCGGCGATCGCGAAGGCAGGCGCGCGCGCTCACCCTGTCCTTCATCCTCCAGCTCTGGGCCAGCGCCTTGGAGCCCTCGATCTTCTCGCAGTGCCGCTTCTTCATGAAGGCCAGCGGCAGGTTCCAGTCCGTCATGTCGGCTTCCTCCTCCTCCCCGAGGCCCACGGCGGGAGAGTGAAGCAGCTCCGAGTCCATTCTCATCAGGGCCCTGCAAAGACCAGCGGCCGCCTCAGAGCACAACCCCATCACAGCATCGAGACCGCAGCCGGTCAGCGAATCAGTAGATCCACTCTTGTCTACTAGAACAGCCACTAGTTATGGACGCAGAGGAGGCTGATAAAGACCCAGGTGAACTCCTGACCTGGAGCCTGAGAGAACCATGAAGGAAAGCTTTTCTGCCTGCCAGACAAGTGATCACTGGCAAGACCCACCTTGGGTTGCAGCTTTATTTTGCATCCCTGGTCAGTTATGATGACTCTCAAAAGTGACACAACTATCCATGAAGGTAAAGGCTCTCATTTGCACCAGTAAGTACTGTTTAGCTTGACCAGAGCTGGGCTGGAAGGAAACCCCACAGACACGGGTGTCCCTCCATGACCAGGACCGGACAGCCCTGAGAGTCTTAAAGGATGTGTGTGTGTTGTGCACGGTGGAGATCAGACAATGTCACTGGGTCAACAAATACACAACGCGGAATCGGCTGCGGTTGTGTACCGACATGCGTGGAATGTCGTGATCGGCTTCATCGCCACGCAAGTATCACTACCTGAACAGCCAGCCACCCGTTCGGGCTTCAGTTCAGTGAAGGAAGTACACATGATCACCCCCCCCCCCTCCCCCAAACACACAAACACACGCGTACAATTAAGAATGTGTAACGATCTGATAGGGGAAGGGAGATATTCGTAGTCTTTAAAAACTACAGCAACAATACTTATTTCTACCGGTCTTACCACCTAACACTACCGCGCGCACCAAGATCCGAAATAAACACAACTAAGCAAGATTGTCATTTCCTTCTTGTAAAACAATAAAACAGACACATGAGAGAAATCTGCCAGTAAGGAAAACAAGAAGCCCTTTAAATGGGGATGATCTCGTTCGCAGATGACACGGACCTTATCTCCCCGCAATCCCTCACACGGGAAAGGGAAAATTAGGCGTCCTTCTCCCAAAACAGAGGCAGAGCCGAAAGGCAAAAATCCCGCATCAAATTCCTCTGCAAACTCAACAGGTTTGGCGAGGTGTCTCTGCTGCCGTGTCCCAGGCCCCCGCTCTTCGTCCCCAGGCAGTATTTTCGAGGGCTCCTTTCGTCCACTCCTCGCTAGGGGCTGAAAGAGAGGCCCATTCTCGCACGGACTCGCCGCCTGAGCCTCGCCAAGGTCTGACCGGCTCCAACCAGGGACGTCACAGCCGAATATGCTGCCTCGTACTGCCGTTTATATCCCCGTCGGCGCTTCCTCTCGTTGTTGATACAGCACTGAGCCTGAATTCGCGTCTGTTTCTCCAGAGAGACACTATCTCAGCACAAACACAAGGGCGCCGCCATGTTCGGCTTGACCCAGCATGCACAGCGGTCGAAAGGGGAGGGGCTGTTGCGTGGGAGTCATTGCGCGCCCCATGTCTGTCGGTCTGGCGTTTTCAGTATGTACTATAGATTAAGCATTTTCTTAATAGCACATTTCATCATACCGAAGAAGCCCAAAGCACTGTACATACAGGATGGGACCCACCTCATTCACCATTTAGGTGCAGCACTTCAGAGCCAACTGTGGAAGCACAGGGCAGACGACCGAATGCCTGTCCAGCGCTGGGCAAAATTAAAGATGCCAGTTAACACAGCCAACTTGTCTTCAGAAACTGAAGAGGGACATGGGATAAGAGCTCTGTGAACAGAGGAGAACATGCAGACTCCTCTCAGTCCAGAATTGATCCCAGTGCCTGCATTGAATCTCTCAAAACTAAAATCGCCTGGTGGATGGGGAATGAAATCCATGTGACGCAACGTGTTTCTGCACTGAGCTCATTCAGCTTGGTGCCACACACATTTCCTTCCCCTCGCGTACTTCCTGGCAGTCTGCAGAGAAGCATTTTAGGGTTTGGGCTAGTTTAAGGCTTGACCCTGACCAGCTGGGGAAAGAAAACGCATGAGAAAGAAACCGCTGAAACAAACCCCAAGTGCCGACAGCACAAGTGAATCCACCTGAAGCTCCAGCTTGTCCGTTTTGCAGCTGTCCCATGGTTTCGCTAAACTCGTCAAACATTCCCTCTGGTCTGTCACAGCAGCCCCATGTCCAAATCGTAGTTTAGGAGTCCTCCCCGTGCTTTGTCACTACTACTAGTAATAATAATTCCTTACATTTATATAGTGCTTTTCTCCACTCCAAGCACTCTACAGGTAATGGGGACTCCCCTCCACCAGTGTGCAGCCCCACCTGGATGATGCGACAGTGGCCATAGTGCGCCAGTACTCTCACAACACACCAGCTCTTAGTGGGGATCAGCGAAGCCAGTTCATAGATGGGCATTATTGGTAGGGAACACCCCTAACACGCAAGGGTAAAACTCTTTTTGAGAAATGCACTGGTATTCTTAATAACCCTGGAGAATCAGAACTTCAGTTTTATGTCTGGATGGTGCCTTTACTACACTATAGTATCCCCATCACTATCCTGGAACATTTGGACCCCACACTGGCTGCAGGGTGAGCACCCCCTACTGGTCCCACTAACACCTCTTCCAGCAGCAGCCTTAGCTTTCCCAGGACGTCTCCCCTCCAGGTACTGGCCAGGCTCACACTTGCTGAGCTTCCATGGACTGCAAGCTATGAGCTGCAGGGTGATACAGCTGCTGGTTGTAAGTCTGCTCTGATACAGCACAGTGAAGCTGAACACAGGACTCTCTTAAGGCTCCTTTGTTTTATTTTGTTCTGCCCGCTGAGTTGCTCGGTGTGCCCCTCTCTGGCTCTTCCTGTCATGTGACCAGAGCACAGGAGGGTGAAGTGCCCTCAGGAAAGAGCCCCACAGCTCTTCCATTCCCTACCCACACCTGTGCAGAATCCCGCAGGGACAGCTGCACTGTGCCAGAGTAGGGAACAATAGTGGCACTAAGTCAGTGATCGGTATGCAGAGCACGGCCGCAGGGCCTAAAAAGTAAGTCAAGTCTCTCGTAGTCTTGTAGCTGCAGTTATTCACTGCAAATCTGTATTATGTCAAGTCCGAAATTATCCTACCCAAACTCCCCAAATCACGTCGTCTGAACGTGACGTTACAAAGAAAGTGAGAGGAAGGGCTTTTGTTTGAATAAGGGGAGATCATTCGATTTAAATGGCATGAACAGGATAACCACTGACTCACACACAGCCACAAACAGGATTCCTGCTACTACAGACACCTCAAGCAGAAAAAGATCTGTATAAAATGAATTGCTTGCACTGACATTAGTCTTGCATTAGTCTCAAAGACTAATAGGAAAAAAAAATCTCTCATTTTAATAACATCAGAACATAAGAAAGGTTACAAAGCACAGTAGACCATCTAGCCTGTTAGGTTGTTAAACAGGTAATTGATCCCAGAATTTCCCTAAATAAGCCAGGGTTTTGGCTTCAGTATCCTGGTTGGGAAGCTTGTTCCACACTTCCACAGCTCTTTGGCTAAAGGGTTCAGACTCCGGCAATCCTAGTTCAGCTATCTCCTGCCTGCAGAAACCGTAAGTTGGAAAGCAATGGATGCAAAATCTTATACTACAGAATTCATTTCTAAAAGATCTTAGGATCAACATTTGCACAGAAAGTTCCCATGAAACTTCTTCCTCGAATCTCACCAGCACACCTCGCCCACACGCACACCCACACTGTGGAGCTGTCAAAATCCTGATTGACTAATCACCCCGCAGCTCAAGCAGGGCCTTATGGCCAATCATGCAGTCGGGTGTGTGAGAAGTGTGTCAGAACCTCCATTCGCCCTTCGTCCTCCCGGACAAGGGGAGGAATGGATCCCACATTTAAAGAGCGATCCCCCTGAAAAAAGTCTGACATCTCTAATCTTAGATCCGAATAATAATATGAGTCTACCCCATGCAAGCATCAAATATATTTTGGAAAGGAATAATTTAATTGCAATTCAAGAAAGGCATGCTCCTTCTAAGGGTTTTACTGGGGCAAGATTGCATGACATTTGCTGTAGTCCAATGGGTTTACCATCATCATACCATTCTTTGCTGTTGTCTCCACAATAATTGCTCCCAAGGGAAACCATGGTGAGAAAAAGCCATACGCTGTCGTATGGACCATCCACCTCAGGAATGCTGACAGATGTTGTACGTCCATTAACAGGAGCAGGAGGGCGGATGGGCTGCTGTTTACTGTAAGAAAACACTGGGAAAAGCCAAAAGGGCAACAGAAGCACCAAGCGTGAGCAAATATTGACAGTTAGATGAGAAAAAGCCACTCAATCTTCTTCCACTCGGATGAAGGGGATTCGGGAAGCTGCATGGCTTTTAGTAACGGGACCAGACGTCAGTGGCCATTCAATGTGCTGGAGATAAGGAAGGAAGTCAAGGGAGCAGAGGCGAGGGGGACCGCAGGCCTCCAGCGCCTCTGACCTGGAGCACCATGCGCAGCTACACGGACGCCTGCATGAGCCGCACTGTGAGCAGAGCAGGGTCTCCTTCCAGAGAGTCCCTGTAATCCTGACGAGTGCTGCCAGCAGCACAACCTGTTTAGGGGGTCGTGCGTTTGGCAACAGCGAGCACCAGAGGCTGCATCAAGATTTGCGTCAGCAAAAGCATCAAGACTGAAAAAAGTGAAAGCAACAAGCCTAAAATGGGGTGTCCTTCTTGAGCTCATACAACGCATTCAAGAGCTTTTGGAGGAAGCCTTCTTCTAAAAGGCACACAAGTACTCACATTTCACTAAATGGCCTGCAACAAATCTTTTGAGGAGAGACATCATGTTCCTGCATCAGCTCACCAGACCGGAGCTGAAGTCAGTGTGTGCAGCGTTAAGTGGACTGACAGAAGTGGTCCCTCCCTTGATGGGATGCTAGTCAATGGCTAGGCTGACAGCTGTACTCATGCCAAATCTCAAGAGTACAACCACAGTACCCACAGCGCGGACACCAGCCCACAGCCTTCCAGCTAAGTGCCCACAGCCCACACTGCTAGCCGAGTCTAACAAAGACAAAACTCAGCCAGCAGAGCGCAAAGTGTGAAAGAGACGCCAAGAACACAAGACAAGCGAAAAAATAAAGAAATGGATCACATTCACCGTACAACCAGACTCTGGCCATCCATCTGGGGTCTCTAGACGAGGACTCGAGCCCTGAGCTGGGGCTAATTGTTCCAGCTCACAGTGACTGAATGAGTGGGAACAATCTGGCAGCTGCTCCAGCTATGCACCGGGCCGCAGATGAAAACTTTAAGTGGGGAGCCCGCGTCTCCTCCGAGCCTGATTGACACAGGACTAGCAATTCAGCAAAGTCAACAGACGAGGGAATGGGGGCGGTGGGGTTAGAGACCTGGGGCTTCAGTGGGAAAATTAAAACACAAAGGAAGAAAAGTTAAAAACTTCAACTCAAAAAAGCATACTGTGCTGATTGACTCCCAGCAACAGACCTAGAAGGTTACCACACATCACACAGGATATGAGAGTTTACTGCAAGTAAACTGTAATCAAGGCAGTTTAGAATGCAGGCAAGGGCACCGACATCATTCTGAGAGTGACATGACATCATTCCGAGAGTGACATCACATCATTCCGAGAGTGACATCATATCATTCCGAGAGTGCAACCAAGCAAACAGAGGGATGGTGAGGCAGAAAACAATGCTGTTTGACCACTGTGTCAAAACAAAGGTCAACGGAAACCTATAAGAACTTTTATACAAACTGACTTCACAGACAACTGTCCATTGCACTGCATCAGCCACTTTTCAAAACCAGGTGTGTCTTGCTGAGCTTTGGAGATCACTCCTGTTTGCTTGGAGAGACCTGAACATCTCTGAAACATCTGTGCCACCAATTGATAACACAGATCAGGGCTGACATGGAAATTAGAGGAAGAAACTCCTCATCAGTCAAAATTCTTTGTGCAAACCTGTTTTCAGCTTAAGACATTTCCTGCAAGAGGTGTTTGACTGTTTTTACAATACAGCCTACTTCGTATACCATGCCAGATGGCACAGAAAGAGAAAAAAAATCGAATTGTCCAGTGCATGATTGTACTTTGATTAGTGGCCTTTAACACAGTTCCTGCATGAATTCTCCCATCAGATTCATGATTAATCATTTTAATATTTTCATATTTGTAAATCAGTGTAATATGTGTTAAAACACTTTATTTCTTTCATCTTTCTTTTTCCAGTTTTATCCTTTTCTTCTTTTCATCTTTGTAAAGCACATCATTATTTTTTAATCTTGTTAATAAATCAAAAACATTGACTTTATGCCAGTTAATATTTTCATATTACTGTTGAACGCTGAAGAACAATCCAATGCTTACATATCATTATTCTAAGAAATGAAAAGCAGGAGCAATCACATTAATAATGATCTTCTTATTT